AATGCACTCAGAAGTGTCTCAGGTTGCTCCTCAAGTTTCTATAATCCTGAAGCTAGGAGATAGAGAACGTTTTTGAACAGGAAAGATTTGGTAACAGAGAAGTACCAGAAGAGAAAGAAATGTGTAAAAGGCATTACCGAGTAAATTCAGTGTTGGTAGGCAAGGAGCGTTATCTATGTACTTCTTTAGGGTCATGACCTGCATGGGGTTGAGTTGAGAAACGCTGTGTTCTGTGTTACCATGGGTTTTGGTGATTGTCTGGGTCAACTCCTTAATCAGTAGCCAAGAACATGGATGAGCATAGAAGAAATGGGCAGGTTGCTAGGTGCATAGGTCCATAAGCACAATTTCTTTCACCCTTGAATTTCTTCTGGATGTTTAGCCTAGTTCCAAGCCTTGGGGAAATTAAGAGGTCAAATTGCCTTCTTTTTTATTTGTGCTTGTTTTGGTGATTATAGAAGTAAATCTTGTTTATTTGGATACTTTGAGAAATGGCAGGGGATACACAATCTGAGTTGTGAAATATTTGCATCAATTTACTGTCTTTCAGAGCAGGTATATGTGTATATCCCTGGGATAGCATAATATTAAACATTTTCTAAATTACTAATTGAGTGTCAGACTTGATTTTCTTTGCATTCTACTTACCCATCTTAAATATGTTCCCGTTTGCCCACTGATTCCAGTTTTATACATACATAAGCAAACTCATGGTAAACATCCTCATGTTCATTTATGGTAGAATTACCAAATCATCATTTCCTACATTTAACATCCGCCTGCCCTTCTCCAATAAAGTGGAAGCACAGGGAGAGCAGGAGGAATCATAGAGGACTCAGTTGCACATTTTTTATGCTCTCCATCCAGGTTGCTGTTTTGTGTCTGCCTCAGTTACTCAAGACTGGGTTCAGTTCTAGTTTTGAGGAACATGTGTGAGACCTAAACTGGACCTAGAAATTACATGAGGTTTGTGAAAAACAGCCAATGGCTGACCTGACCACTCCTGCTGGGATCAGCCTGGCCCTTTACCAGTTAAACCAACAGGCGCTATGAGGCTACAAGACCCTGATCTCAATTCAGGACCAGTTTACAGAAATGGCCCCTATTATTTTGTGTTTGGACTGATCAAGAATATAGGAATTATCCTGGGGAGAGTCAAAGGATGTGGATTTCTAGATTGACATTGCCGTACCATGTATTATATGACCTTGAGGGAGTCATCTAACATTTTGCAAAATGACCAGGTGACCAGAGTTGCATTTACCTCTGAGTTGCATCCTAGTCCTTCTTATTGTTATTTTGAGACAGGGTCTCACTAAGTTGTGAGGCTGACTTTGACCTTTCCACCCTCCTGCTTCAGCCTCCCAAGTCACTGAGATTACCAGCATTCACCACCAAATCTCGTTCTCATGGGTACTTTCTATTGATGTCAAATGTTGGTTTCCTCACAGTCTTATTTGGTTTCCAGTGGATGAAGTATTTAAATAGTAGATTAAATTTTATGTTCCTATTTTCATGAAGAATTTTCTGATTTTTTTTTCTTTGAACAGTGAAGCGGTATTTAAATCAGTTTGCTCTGTATGATAATTGGGAAGTGAAATAAGATTCTATTGCCAACTTAAAGAGAATATTCAAATTCTTTATCTTGTGTACTTGAAGCCTATTTTAAAAAATTAGAATAGATTCATTCCTTAATAATACTTCAAATGAGATATTTAGAGTCTTTTAGGATAATAAAAATTGAATAGTCTACTTACAAGGGTGGTTTTCTGGAAACTAAATAGTAAAGAACAAGTGAGACTATGTTCTATAAATTAAGTTCCTTGTAAAAGATTATTATAGATATTGTTTAAGTTCATCTATCCAGAATCACCACTTCCACTATTTTCTCCCTGCTCTCTTCTTCCAACACCTCCTTTTCCCTTTTTGTTCCTAATTACCTGTAACTTTACAATGAAGTTTCCCCCACGGTTATCCACATGACCTAATTATTCTTGCAGAGTTTTCTTAGCTGCCTTATTTGCTGTATTTCCTTTCAGTTTTCTAAGAGGTAATGAGAAGTATAGAGAAAATGCCAAATGCTGCCACTGATCCATGTAGTAACCAGTGTTGAGGTATTTTATGTTTATGCACCTTAATTTGGTGTCTAATCCATTTGCAACTTCAGTGGGTTTATATTTTAGAACTCAGTCTGGCTTAAATGTAGAATATAAAATCCACAAAGCTCTTTCAGAATGTGATCTCCGGCTTTCAAAAAAACATTACTCCATGATTTCATATGGTCATTCAGCCAACATTTATTGTAGACCTACTATATGCCAGGTACAGTGTTGAGGATGAAAGACAAGCTCAGGGTTCCTGCCTCTGGGTGGGCCTGGGGTGAATGAATCATGATCATCATTTACATCCACAAGATCCCTTGTCCCCGTCACTAACCAGTTGTCTCCCCAGAAGCAAGTTATTGCTCTAGCTCTATTTCCTTTTGTAATTGAGCCCATTTCCCTTGGTTCTCTTTGATGCCCCTTTTAGCTGTGAAATGTTCAGTCTCTAATTATTGTAAATTGTTCCTTGAATTGCATTCACTGCTTAAGCCCACCAGCGACACACTGCGGTTAAAAATAAACAGGGAACAGTCTTATTGGTAAAGCTTAACACCTTCTGTCTCAAATTAAAATTTTTGAACCTCTAGTAATATCTGCCCTTTTATTTTCCCACAGTTCCACTCATGTGCTGTTCATAAGTCTTAACTCTTAAGTATGAATTTTTGGCTCCCTGTTAGATAAAATACTTCATTTAACTTAGTCAAAGCCAAACTTGGTGAAGCCTGGGGGGGGGGGGGCTTAGGAGGCTTCCCTTGTTCCCAGTACATCGAGATCCTTCTAGTATGTTTGTTTGATTCCTTCTACTATGTTTATTTGTTTGTTTGTTTGTTTTTAAAGAAAGGAGGAGTTGTTTGGAACTGCCCCATGATGGTTAGGTGGCAACATTGTCTATACAACCAAAGCATGCGCTGCGTTTCAGCCATGGCTTTGCAGTGGCAATATCATAAATGTCCCATCACTTGGAACCCAGTCTGTTTCGGCATCTCCAGGCCTCATTGCTGCTTGTAATCTGATTAAGGGGTTTGATTTGTTCCAGCCTGCAGCCTTTTGCTTTGAGTTTACCATACGCTCAAGGACACACAAGTGCCTGGTCGCTCTAGCCCTGCACTGGGAACGATCTCAACCCAGTTTTGCTTAGACCAGCCCAAGGCCGTGGCTGGTTGAGAATCTGTCCTAGAGCAGGCTTTGTTACCAAACCTTCTGTGGGCAACCATGTTCAGAAGTCCAGGGTTTTCCAGCTTGGGAACTTACAAATTTGAGAAACAAGGTAAGGCAAGAGAAATAGCGAATGCACTCATGTATTCGTTTTGTAACATATCTCTTGGAATCCTACATTTTTACCCTGTATTCTCCTGTGTCGGGTTAGTTATACAGTTTTCTCAAAGGATGCTTTAAATATCTAATTGAAATTATAAATGAACTTATCTTGTAATTATTGAAAATGTACATTTTTTTTTCTGTTAATAAGTTAAAGACATTGCTAAACCACTAAAGCCTTTAGATAGGAAAAATTGCAAATTAAATTGGAATGCCCAGACTTTGGATCAAATCCTGGATGTGCTGCGCTTTAGCTAAAATATTTTTCTAAACCAAATGCTGTATGTACTAAATTATTTCCAGTAGGCAGTGGTGAGTGAGTCTCTTTTTATTAACTCTTCATATGAGACAGTTTGAAACAAAACATTGTCTTTCCAGCCCAGAGGAAGATACTTGCTTTTAATTTAGTTGCTAAAGTGATATCACAGACTCAATGTGCTCTTTGAACAAATATGAGCTGCTGAGGTTCTTTTGAATGCTAGATCTGAAATTTAGCCACTATATATCAGAAGTATTGACAGCACAAATGCACTATTAAGAAGTGACTGAAACACTTCAGACCTCAGATTCAGGAATTTTCTTCTACAATCTTTGATGGCTTTTTGAACCGAATTCTCCTTTAAATAACTAACGAAATGCATGTGTATTTATTTACAAGAAAAATCCGGATGTTTAGTTGGCATTCAGCTTTCATTTTATTGTGTTCTCTGGTTGGTCAGGATTTCCAGATTTTGGGATTAAGAATGTATTTGGATGGATAATGAAGTGTCAGCATCTGGTGTGTTTTGTACATTTTTTCCTCAGGCTTCTGCTCCTAAATATTAAATAGTAAAAGGTGCTTCCTTAGGGGAAGCGGTTTCTGTAAGTGGTCTACTTGTGGCTTTCTGGGTGGACAAATAGTTACTTAGCCAAAAACTATAAAACAGATTACTTGCTATTAAACTGGTTATAAATTTTGTCTATGCCTGGCTTTGATTAACCCATTCACCAGGGATGTGTGTTTTTCCTGTATGGAATTGTTACCAGCTGTCTTTACATAATAGGTATCTTATCTTCAGTGGTTATTTTGATGTGTCATTACTGTTCAGATTCTAGTGAAAGCAAAAACAATACAACTGGGGTTTCTCTTGCTCTTTAGTCCCCCAAATCTCTCATTCTTTAAAGACATCTCAAATTTCTCAGGGAGATTACTTTCAACATTTGTGATTACCTTCACTAAAACTGTTCAATTTTTCTCCTTTTTGTTTTCTGGAATAGATAGCTATATCATTTGGTATTTAATTGCTTCAAGTTATTCTTATTGTCATAAAATATTAAATAATAGTATTGAACTGTGTCCGAATATTTTAACTCATGAAGTGTATCAGTTACTTTTCAGTAGAAGGAAAAAAAATTAGATTTGTCTATGTAAGAATTATATGTGGAATTTTATTCTTTTTAATTTTTGTATTTCTTGTCTGTCTAGTGGTTTTCTTTTTTCTTAAATTATATAGTCAAAGGGAGTTTGAAAGATGTTTTCCAATGGAAATTTTTAACTTACTGTGTAACTCTTTCAATGTTACATTATTTCTTTTCCCTTAGATTTCAACAAGAAAAACTTAAACTTCGTGGGATTCCCACATCAAAGAAAAGTTCCAAGGTAATGTAGCCTTTGTTCAAGGAATCTTAAAGTTTGGAGATTCATAATAGCTTTTAAATGATTCTCTAAAAGTCCTCCTTTTTTTTTTTTTAATTGTGTGCTGGGGATCAAACCTAGGGCCTTCTGTGTGCTAAGCATACACTCTGCCACTGAGCTATACCCCAAACTCATAGTCTCTTAAATTCCTAAGTCTTTTATGTGTTTGGCAATATGTTTTCTCCCCAGAGTTCTATTCATTAAAATATATGGAGCAAGGGATATAACTCAAAGCTTTAGCAGATTCCTAGCATGTGCAAAGACCTGGGTTCAACTGCCAGCATCGAAGCCGGGGATGGGGGGAGGATACACACACACACACACACACACACACACACACACACACACACATACTCTGTAGACACATACAGAGAAGAGAGAGAGAACACAAGCAAACTGACTTAACAGTATACTTGGGCAGCAGAGATTTAAATCTTTTTGGATTTAATGCTATTTATGATAACTGTTTAGGGAATTGAATGTGTGGCTTATAACTAGTTGCAAACTTATAGAGCTGTTTTCTTTTTTCTTTCTCACATCTACCTCCAAGCTTGGTTTATCCCTTTATAGTCTGTCCATCATGTAAGGGAGCTTAACCTTGTCCCTCCCCCTCTCTTTCCTGCCCACCATTCCTTCCTTCCACCCATCCCTTCTTCTTTCCCTCCCTCCCTCCCTGTCTGCACCCACTCCTCTGTCCATGAGGAGTTCTCATTGCCTGGTGTTAGCATCTCTCTCAGCCTGTCTGCACTTCATTTCTCTTGGCTGCAGGATATTATGGGTGCTGATTTGATTTACCTAAGGTGCTAAGACTCCATGGCCCATTATCATTGATGTAAGATAATGTAAAAATGAAAGTGCATGCCAGATAAGTGGCTCGAACGCAGGTGTTCCATCATAAAACATTGTCACTGATACCATCTGGTATTCTCAAGTAGAGGCACCAAGTCATTGTTCCCTCCCTACACACTCAGGCAGGGATCCCAACTTATACTTCATTGTACTAGAAGAACCCAACTCCTGATCCACCCTTCATTTCACTCCGATGCTCTTGTCCGTAATGTGTTGTGACATTGTTACTGTACTAGAAAGGACTTGCATTTTCTTAGCATCAGAAAAAATAGTTGTCAGACTCCTGTTTTCATCAGGCAGAGCCTAACTCTGCATTCGAAAATTGGAGAGTTGATTTTACAAACACTCTAGATAGGACAAATCCTTGGTGTATTTCATATACTTCTAAATATAAGATAAATTAGAACAATAATGATTCAGGGTCATTAGTAAGGTCATCTCATCGACTGACTGATGAAATCACTAATAGAGTACTTGACCTACCCCTGTTCAGCATCTTTGGCATGTTTTTAATAGAACTTGTGGCTCATTTCCCAATACGTCTCAGCATTTTGGCCTAATTGGAATACAGATGATAAATGACTAAAAAAAAGAAAGAAAAGGAAAAGGAATCAGGAAAGCATCACTTATTCAAAGACAGGAAAAGCATGAAATACAAAAGTCAGACACTTCAGTGTGGATAGCAATTCAAAGGGATACAGCAGTTGTAAAATCATGGCCATTATTTTATGGATACCTATGAAAATCTCTGGCTTACTCGGCATGGGACTAAGGACAAAATGTGCTAGAGGTCTAAGAGCCTACCCGCTGGTCCAGTGGACACCAGCTAGAGAGATGAGGTAGATGAGGTAGATGAGCTTGCACCTCCCTTATCTTGTAATTTACAATTGTGTAGCAGAGCAAACAGACTGTAAGGGAGCCTTGTGACAGCAAGGGTGCTGGAGAGTGTTTGAGGATAGCAGCACCGCATCCTTCTCTCCTTTTAATAAAATCTGCCCTTATTGCTGCTTCTGGGCATGTAAGTAGGTTAATGGGACATGTTTAAAAAAATGTATCATGGAAGCAGAAGGCAAGGTCTTCTGCACTGACTGAAGTCAAGGAAGGAAGGTACAGGAATGACAAAATGAGTCACAGGAATGGGCACTATTTCAGAGAAGATAAATTGCATAAAAATGCAATGTTTCTTAATATTAGAACATTCGAATTTTATAATCGCAAAAACTAAGGCCATCGTGTACTTCAGTTAGAAATGGAGAGATGCTTTCATACTGACGTACAGGCTCAGGACACTTTTGGTTGAGGAGCAAGCACACCATGGCCTGCAGAGGTTGTCTCTCCAGGGTCCCCTTGTCCCAGGGATGAAAAGAGGACGAACAAGATCTGGCATCCAAGCTCAGGCTGTGGAGTTCCCCATCTTGGGAGCTGTGCTTTGGCACTTCTGACAACTCGGGAAAGACAAGAGGCTGGTGTAAGGGCTCTTTGGGGTATGTGTTTTATCAGCCATATTAGGACATCCCAACAGTATTTTCACTGCTGGTGAAAGTCCAGGGAAGAGATACCCATGTTTTTTTAAGAACCTGGTTTCTCATGCTGATTTAAAAGGTCTTGCATTTACCACAGCTTTCTCAATTCCCTTGAGCTCTGAGCCCAAGCCCCAGGTTCCCTCTGGGTCTGTTTGTTCTTCCTCTCTGCCCATCTGCTTCCTGTGAAGTTATCAGGCATGTGGCAGGAATGGGGGAGGGAGGCACCCGGAACAGGAGCAGAGTAAGGCAGCCACATGGGTTCCAGCTTATATATGTAGAGCTGTAACTTTTAGAAAGAGATTTATAAATGTATGCTAATATACTAATATTTCATGCCTAGGTACAAGGTGGGAAAAGGTGGTAAAGAGAGAAGTTTTTCCAATCATATACTATTCTGAAGTTGAGAGAAGGACAGAAAGGAAGTAGCAGGGAAGGGAGAGAAGGGAAGGGGAAAGAAGGGGGAGGGGAGGGAAGGGAAGGGGAAAGGAAGGGAGAGGAGGAGAGGGGAGAGGGGAGAAGAAAGGAAGGAAAGAAGGAAAAAGATAACTGATGTTGCTGAATATATTATTCTCAATAATTGTGATGATTTTGTCCCTGGTTATCACATCAATGTATATAAATTATATAGATACTTTATGAAAAAGTATAGTATATAGCTAAAGTATTTTATAGCAGTCATTCACTCATTTAATAGATATTTACTGATCTTTTTTAAGACTAGGGATATAGCTCAGTGGTAGAGCATGTGCATAGCATGAGGTTCTGGGTTTGATCCTCAGCACCACACACACACACACACACACACACACACACACACAGCCTATCAAAATATTTAAATTAGCAATTAAATATTCAATTAAAATGGTATGCTACTTAAGTAGGATACATTTCTGCAGTTATTTAATTTTTTTAGGAGTATACTAAATCACACACCTGCATATAACACTGAAAATAATCATCTCTGCCTTACAATTCACTGTTTAGACATTGAGGTTATTTTTTTTTTCCCCAGTACTGGAGATTCCACCCAGGTCCTTGCATGTGCTAGGCTATCACTCTACCACTGAACTAGCCCTTGTAAAATTTTATTTTGAGACAGAGTATCTTACTAGGTTGCTCAGGCTGGCCTGAAACTTGCAATCTTCCTGCCTTAGCCTCCTGAGTAGAGCTGGGATTACAGGTGTCTTGCCACTATACCAGCTCATTGATATTAGTTCTGATTAGGCAAATTGTCTTTAAGCTAATCTAGTACATGGTTTATAAAGCTTAATTATTTTCAATATTTTATTAAATATGTGAGTCCAAATTTTTATTATAAGTTTTCTGCATTTACATGAGGTAAATTTCTGATGGGTTTGGTTCTACAAAGGTTTGATGGTGCACAATGCTTTAAAATGAAATTCCTTCCAATTTAATTTGTACATAAAGGATAGATTGTTCAAGTGTCCCTCTTAGACAGTATGCCCAGCAACTTACTCAGAATTTTCTTAGGGCTGTATGGAAATGTACCCCTATAGAGACAAATAGGAAGAGATAGAGGGTATATTAGACAGTTTCGCATTACTACAACAAAATAGTTCAATGATAGAGCACATAACTAGCATGTGTGAGGCTAGTTTTTCAGCACTGAAATAAAAAAGTACAAATTTTAAAAGTTTACTAAAACGCCCTCCAAAAGAAAACATTTTTCACTATGTGTGACAACAGCGTGATTCTTTATGTTCTGCATTTTTTTCACATAATAACCTATATATTGATTTAAATGGTCTTTCAATACTTTATTAATGGAATGACTTTTAGTTTTCAGAAAGAGTTCTCATTTGACAATAAAGAAAAACTCACTTCCCGCAAAAGTAGATTCGATGCTGAAATTTTAACTACACTTCCTAAAGGTAAGACTTTTTCAAAACGGCTAGCCAATGTCTGGGCACCCAAGGATAGCATGATCTAAGTCTTTGGAGGGATTCTCTCACTTCTCACCTCATCCAAGAATGAGCTTCAAGTCATGTGCCTTCTTTAAATCCTCACATTTCTAGCCTTAGACATCCTGGAGATTTTACTGGAGGCTTCATGAGGAGAGGGAGAGTCAACTTTCCCTCTTTTCACTCCTTACTTTAACCTTCTCCAAGGGCAGTACACTCCCCTTATCCCCATTCATCTCCATCCACTTATCCCTCTGGGGTCTTCTCCCCTTGCCCTTGGATTCTTACCTTTACACTCAATATCTTAGAGCTCCCTACTGTGCGATCAACAGCTGGTGCACAACATATCATAATCCTTCTTCCCTAAGTCATTACTTACACATGGTGGGTGATGTTTCCATTGTAAAAGGTGCACAATCAGTAAAAATGTATATAACCTACTTTAGGCTGACCCCCTCTAGTTTTGTCTCTAACATGATGTAAGCATTGCTTGATCTGTCTGCCACCAACTGCAACACAAGTACAATGATCATTTAGTAATAGCTCACAAAATGTCCTCATCCCTAGTTCACTACATAGCCTTTACATTAGGAAAACCAGGTTGGATAGAAGGGCAGATTTTTTTCTCTACTCTGAAAGGGGGCAAAAATCAAGACCCAAATAAATTAGATCAAAAGAAATAATCTTTTAATAGGAACTAAATCCAGTTTAAAAGGTGCACTGACAAATTGGAATATATCCTGAGGAACGGAGTGGTTGATTTGCCTAGACTCCATGGATTTCACCTGGTGAAGAAAACTTAAATAGGGACACGTTGCTATTGTCAAATACTAACAAAGCTGTCGACTGAAATATAGGCTTATTCTATGTTTGCCCCAGGGGCCAAGAAAAAAGACTAATGTGAAGAATTAAAAAGGAGGTAGATAAGATTTCACATGAAAAAAGAAAACTGCAATAGCTCATGGTACAGTAGTCCCTCTTTATCTGTATGTGATACTTTCCAAGAGCCCTAGTGGATGCCTGAAGCTGCAGATAGCACCAAGCCCTATATATGTGTACTTTGTTCTTTCCTATACATACACACAGGTACGATAGTTTAATTTATAAATTAGGCACAGTAAGGGATTAACAGTAATAACTGCTAATAAAATAGGACAGTTATAATTACAATTATAACCAGATACTGTACTAAAACTTTTGTAATACAGTTTCCATCTCTCTCTCTTCAAAGAGCCAAGACAAATACTAATATTTTCAGACTGCAATCGACCACAGTAACTGAAACTACAGAAGGTGATACTGCTATACCCAGAAAGGAAATGAGCCACATTATGATCTCATAAGCTCTCTGTAAGGCACAAGCATGTGGCCATGTGTTTAGAGTTGGGAAGATGCTCTGGAAGGTTCCTATGTGGATGGGATGTGGACCAGGTGCAAAATGAAATGGCCCTTCCAATTTTTAGGATTCCTTGTGAAAGACAAAGAAACCCAATTTAACCTGAGTCAAATTAAATGTTTAAAATCTGTGAATATAATCGAAGCAAAGTAGAAGAATGAACAGATTGATTTTGGCAATAGCTGAGAAGAGTAGACTGATTAGGCACAGTTCTATATAACAAAAGTTTTTCCATGAGGAGAAAGGGTCCCTCTTCTCCCTTATCTACCCAAGTTCTCTTTTTTTGACAAATGGCACCATAGATAATACCACCACCAAAAAAATTAGGAACGGTTTAAGATGCCAGGTACCTTAAAACTCATATTATAACTTCATATATAACAAAAACTTTAAAGACATGCTTATTAACATTTTATTATGGAATGTATCTTAATTGATTATAAAAGTATAATTTTCACAAAGATGATGATTTTATATATTAACACAATTTTTGTTTCTAAATTAATGAGGCTATAAATCTTCAAAGTGTGCTTAAAACTGCCCATGCCCCTCTTCCCCTGAATTTTGTCTTAGTTCCCTGTGGTCTTATTTCACATAGTCTTTGCTATCTGTGACTTGAGGTAGGCACATTTGGTATTACCAGCGATCTCTCTGTTTCTCTGTCTTAAATCTGTTAGTGATTTTATCTATTGGCTCTTAGCAATATAATGTTAAAAATTGAACTGATTAAATTTTGTTTCAGAGACATAGAGTTTTATGTCTGTTTATAAGTTTGCAGAAGTTTCTTTCTGTTCACTGAGTGAGGGATTCTTGCTCATATGAAACTGGGTCTTAAAATGGTGGTTTCTTTTTCTCTCAGGGACTTTCCTTAAGTGTGTATCGCAAAAGAGAAATCAAGGAATTAAAAATCTTTACCTACGTAAAGGTTATATTGTTAGAATAGATTTTCCATTTTGGAATTATGGGATGGACCAAATGCATTACTCTCTTTAACAGCTTTATTAACATATAATGCACATACCATAGAATTTGTCCATTTAAGGCGTAGAATTCACTGGCTTTTAGTAGTTTCACAGAGGTGTAGGTCCATCTCCACAGTCAATTTTAGAACATTTTCATTATTTCAAAAAGGAAACCCTATACCTTTCAGCTGTCACTCCTTCCCCTCATTCCTCTTGATTGGTAATTACTTATTTTACAAGCTGCTTGTCTTTATATTAGTGGCTGCCTTCCAACTGTGAAAATTAAAGTGTGTTACTCCTATGGGAAGACGGACCAGTGTTCAGAATGTGGCTGGTCTGGCCTGAGCTCCCAGGCTGTCAAGTGACAGAGGAGAGAGAAGTAGAGAAGTGTGCTTGGCACTATCCTACCACTTGTATTTCTTTGGAATATTCTATAGTTCTCAGGTGTGTAGAACTGAATTCAACAATGTCTTTGCCAGAGATTTTCTGTTTCTCAGAGCTAGTTGAAGAAACTATATTTCCCAAGAAAATCACCCAGAAGACTAAAATATCCTAAGTATTGGTGTTATATATTCTCATTACAAAGAATATTTGATAGATACCATTATAGAATATTATGGCCCCACTGTCAACTTTCCTTAAAGGGCCTTACCTGAAAACTGACCAACCAGCTCCTCCAAACAATAACTCCAGAATGAATTCATAGACTCCATATTGTCATAGAAGTACCACTCTAAATTATTCAGATGGGTAGGAGACCAAGGTAGCAGGTGTAAATGGAAAAAAATCCTATGCACGGAAGTCTCAAACTATTTGAAAGCAAAATAGAACATTTCTCTACAAAGGAAATTTGACCATCTATGCGTGTTTGTATCTGGATTGCTTGATGTATTTAGTGTTACTAAATCTGAACCGGTTTTGAATTGTAATTATGACACAGCACACAGTCAATTAAATTAAAGCTATTAGAATCTAATTTTTTAAAATATTCCTATTGTTGATGGACCCCTGGTGCCTGTAATCCTAGTGACCCAGGAGGCTGAGGTAGGAGAATCATAAGTTCAAGATCAGCCTGGGCAACTTAGAGAGACCCTGTCTGAAAATATAAATAGATAGATAGATAGATAGATAGATAGATAGATAGATAGATAGATAGATAGATAGATAGATAGACGGACAGACGGACTGGAGAGGTAGCTGAGTAGTAGAACTCCCCTGGGTTCAATCCTTAATATTACCAGAAAACACATACATACATGCACGTGCACGCACACATATACTATATATATATTTTTTTCCTATTAAGATACACATACACACACACACACACACACACACACACACCTATATGACTATTGCTTAATTTTAGGAAATATATATGGAAGAATTTACAGATAAAGAGGCATCATGCTGCAACTTACTCAAATATTCAGAAAAAATATTATGTGAAATTATATAAAAATTTTAAAAGGAAAGAAACCTTCAAGATTATCAGAAGATAATTTCAGTAGAACTGTAAATGGTCTCTATATGTGAAACAATGGAGTTACAATATAGATTTCCACAGCAGGGCTAACTTCAGTCCATGACTTTTAGTACTATTATCTCTTTTACAATTCTCCAGAATAATAAACCTGTACAGAAATTCAACCAGAGGGCCTAACGAGGACCATAAGAGCTTATGTAAAATTTGGAATAAAAAAAGAAAGTGCACACACATCAGCAATCCATATAAAATGTCATTCTTTCTTTTTACAACTAAGGTGGTTTCCCATAAGATATATAAAAGTAGTTGTATTACACATTTGTTTTACTAATTTTACTTTTAAATTATGGACTTGGAGAGAAGAAGCCAAACTCAAATCCTTTTTTTGTCTTGTGTATAATTTCTTTTACATGATTTTTGTCTTGCACATAATTTCTTTCTTATAATCTCATGTCTATAGGAATGAGACAAATCTTACTTATTTGTTAGAAAGAATAGACTGAGAAGTAATTATCTGTTTACTGGAGGGTTCCCCTCCCCCCACTAAAATACTCACTATTGATTTCAACTAAGAATTAATAAGTTCACCAATACATTTAAAGTCTATTTTAACTTATGGCCACATTTCATTGCTCAGTAAAATGATCAGATAAGACTGCAAGGTGTTGTTTCAAGCACCCACTATGTTCATGGGTGGATACTAGCTTCTGGGAGCAATAGTTTTGAGTCTGAGTCTGTGTGTGATGGAGAAGAACACAGTAATGGGCAGTCGGATTTGTCTTGGATAATCTGTGGCATTGGAGTCTGGGAATCAGGCTGCCGATATGAAATTTTTATACTACAATCAATGGTTCTCAATCCAAGACAGTTCCAACAGGGCTTTGAAAACATGGGTATTTTTGTGTCACATAACTGCGGATGATTTAGCATTCAATAGGAGAGAACCAGGGATATTCCACACGCAGGGCTTACATTTCTCACATAAAAGGCCATCAGTACCCCCACAGTGATCTATAATATATTCCGGAGCCAGTCTTCTGAGTCTGTGACCCTAATGGCATACATCTGTGCATCTGTTAAATGCTAACCTAAGACTTTCCATCTGTTGCCCAGAAGTCAGTGGCTACCAGATGGTAATGTTTCCTTCTGAACTGGCCAGGAGAAAGGGGCACAGAGGTCCCTGGAGGACAACTTGATCCACTCCATCCTTCTCTTGGTGTCACTGCTCCAGACTGAGGTTCAGCTTCCGTGATGACCAGCCCTTTTGACTGTTGCCTGCCCCCTCTTTATCTTATCAGTCCTTATTGAAAGAGGGTGTTAATGTTATTGGACCCAAGTCCTTCTGCTCACCACCCAAAAGCCAATACTCAGGAGAAGAGAGTTGGTAGAGTGGAAATCAGATTTATTCAAGGACTATCCCTGAGAAGATGGACAGGGCTGTTGTCCTCAAAGCACCATCTTGGGGAACTCAAGTACACACAAAAAAATGGATTTTATGGGGAGGGAAAGGAAGTATATAGGACTGAGGAAAGTAAGACCACATGCTGAGCAAAGTCTTCATCATTCCAGACACGCGTCTCCTTTTCCCCACCTTTGGCTGGTCATCTCAGTAGGCCTTGATTTCCTAGGGCTAGTTATGAACATGTTATTTTTCTACAATTTAACAGCACAACATTGTATTAGTCAAGAATTAGAAGGGGTGTGACACATCTGATATTATCTGAAGGTCACTGGATGTTCTGGATTCTACAAATCTTAATATCTTGTTAGCTAGGTAAGGGTTTTCTTTAGAATTTAGAAAGATAGGCATAGGGATGGAAAGCAGAAGTCATTCTTTGAAAGAGTGGCAAAGGAGCAGCCACTCTCTTATCATAATGGCACTAGGAAAAGTAGAGCTTTGTGGGTGAGAGGATAGCGTGTTCTCCCATTGAGCTGATCTTCCTGCTGGAATATGGAAATGAAAATAGCAGTAGCAACTTAATGCTCAACTTTTTCACGTACTGTAGAGATCTTTTTTTAAAAGATAATTTCTACAGAAAATTTTAAAATAAGATTTATTGAAATGATAGTAATTTTCAGTAGTTTCTAATTAGAATGAAAAAATATATATGTCTTAACTTTTTCCAGTGGCAGTTATATGACACTGTTTTTGTTTATGTTTTTTATCTTATCCAGTTGAAATAATTTGGGGATAGAAAAGGTAAGTTTCATTATACTTCAGGACTGCAGTAATATACTAATGTATGTCTCCGTTGTGATTTTGAGGCATGGATTTAAGACATCTCTTTCAGGAACCCTGGAATTTGGTTTCAATAAAACTCTTAAGCAGTCTCATCAAAAACACAGCCCCATTCTCTTCTTGGGGTTTAAATAATTAATTAAAATTCTCTGGTATATATATATTTATATCCTTGAAAATATTTTCATAATATATACTATCAGCATTAAAGTTTTATCACCATAATCTCATCAGAGCTAATTTGTTAATTGGGAAGCTATTACTGGCTTCCTTATGCAAGGCAGGAGGCAGGATGCACCCTGATCATTATGCCCTTGTCTTCTAAATAGGAATATAATTAACATTGTAGAGCAAGTTCACCTCAGCCTCCATCTACTCTGATTCA